TTACAGACTTTTGTGAGGGAGAAACCATCTGACAGGTGTTAATTTCTCCGCGACTCTGTAATTGACGAAGACGTCGATACTGTGATCGGAAGGCACGGGTCGCCATATGTTCGACGACTCCAGAAACCGCCGAGTCATCGCGGGTGGCTTTCTTGAATCATCACAAAGAGATGTAATTTCTCTCGACGCAGGCGAAAAGGGCGCATGGCACAGACGTGGAAAAGAAAGTGATTTCGAGCCATACTCCGAGGAAGCAACAATTTTTAACTGTTGGCATGAATTGTCCTAAATTTCTATGGATTCATCGTAAGGTCGAAGACATCTTATTTAATCTATCTTCACTACTTAAACTTATCTAATCACTCTTGACAGGTAACTTGCTAGTGTTTAAACAAACGTTATGTTTTAAATGTGGGAAATACAGACAGACAGACAGACGAGTCGTGTCTGCCCGCTCTCAGATGCTCCGTGTTCCCATAGATTTCTGTTCAAGAGTAGCAATTCACGTCGGTCACGATATTGTCTCGTAAGACTCAGCCAATAAAAGCAATGATTAGGCAACTCGCTTAACAGGCCTTTAGAACAATGCAATAACTATCGCTACGAGCAATTTTTAAGCTTTATTAAGAATGTCAAATCAAGAACTAGGAAGCGTCTCACTGACGAAATCTCCGAGAAAATCACGCGAACTGCAAAGACAAGAATTAAAACATTAATAAAAAAAAATAATCTAGCGAAAGGAATGTGAAATATCTCATTGATGACTAATTTTGTTCAAGATATTTAATGACTGCGGAACCTGTTTGAAAATAAAAATAGTTGGCAAGATTTTCAATAAACTGCCAGGAATTTTTAATGTAAGTTTTCGTTTTTATAAAAATGGCGAGTTGATGATAAAGGGTGAATGTGGCCGAAGGTCTGGAAACGCTGATAACTCCCACCACAGACGATAAGCGTCTTGTTGTCTGTCGACGGCGACGAGCAACAAATGCATTATTAACCAATCAGAAAATTACACACATCTTTAAACGCATTTCCTTTCGTGAACAGTTCCCAAGAAGACTTGGCTGAACTTTCGTTCCAGAGACCTTTGCCGATTTGCGTCGTATTGTTTCATCACACGCTTGGCATTTCACTTGCCGAACCCACCCCCCCTCCCGGGGGGGTTCCCCCGAACACGCACTACAAAAAATTGCGCGAACAGACTCGTTCGTGAGAAACTCATGTACCCATGCCCCCCCCCCCTGCTGTGAGTGGAGGGGGAGAGACATGACTCCCCCACAAACAAAGGTTCTAGTTAGAAGAGAAAGTGTGAGGACCACATGCTGGGAGGTCCGGGGTACCGTTCACATTCAGGTGTAGCGCCATTTCATCCAAAGTAACCACACAAAGCAGAATTCTTGAGAAGTTAACAGTCGCTTAAGTAATCGCATATGAAACACGAAGGTTCATCACCGCACTAACATAGACAGGAAAAATAATACATTTTATATCCTCACGTCCTATTTCTTTAGCATAATTTTTAATATTATCCCGTAATTTACGTTTAAATCCCCAAAATGGCCTTTACCTTTCAGGTTTTAAAGCATTTTTAACGCATATGTTCTATGCTTTCTACACACACCGCCCATCTCGAAAGTGTTGGGGGAGGGGGAGATATCTGACATTGGTTTCCACCTTCCACGTAACCAACCGCTGCCTTTCTTCAGAGATCAAAAACATGGAGTTGACGAGAACAGTCTACTTCCATGTACAATAACCAGGTCGCCTTCCAC